TCTCTTTGCATCAAGACACAGCCTAAACCCGGTTTTGATGCGTCGCTGTATACCACTAAATCTTCTATTCCATCGGGTAAAGTCAATATTGGGGCACTGCAGATATGATCTTTTAGTAACTGGAAAGCTTTATGTTGTTCTTCTTCCCACTAAAATTTGACATTCTTCCGAGTTAATTTGGTCAAAGGCACGGTTGAAAGTGTGTGTTTGTGTTTTGTAAAGTCATTTTTAAAAGTAATAAAATTATCTAAAGAAGGAGATAATATAATGCAGAAAACAACTAAACAACTTGAGAATATAAAACACTGCTCTGATACCACTTGTTCGTCTCGTTAGGGTCTACAAGATGTGTATAACAGTTTGTAGAAGGGAAGAGATGAATACAAACATAGAAAACTTTTCATATTTAAAATATATATTGATAAAGAATGATCAATACAGATTTTACAAGATTGTTTACGAAAGGATAAGGTAAATAAAACCTATCTAAACAATCTTAAGTTACACACTAATTCTTAGCAAATAAAGAAAAGATTTGCCGTAAAAGAGTTAGAAGAAAATATGTTCTATCTGGGAAAAGAACTTTTTTGGAACACAATAAAGAGATTCTAACTTGCTCTTGAAGATGAGCGTATTTGTTCTTAGATGTGTGTTCTTTTACTAAGTGTAAGCAAGTTCAGAGTAAGGGGTAAGAGTATATCTCTGCATGGAGATAAAACACATCTATTTATACCCATTGCATTAAATGCACATTTAATGCAACATGGTAGGGTTAGAACGTGTGTCAAACCTTAAGAGGAAGGCTTGTCCTTTGCTACAGAGAATAGTACAAAAATCCTATCCATGAGCAGACATCCTTTCACAACATTTAGAAAGAGTATGGGTTTGTCCTTTGTGTCTGTAAGGACATGACAAAAACAATTGTGCTCAACAAGCTTCTTTTGATCACTGAATGCTGGAATAAACTGAAGGTCTCTTCAGCATTCGCTGAGACTTGGGCAATCTTCACACATATGTAGACAAGGCTATAATCACTGAATACGGCTTCAGATCACGTACTCGTCAGTCTCTAATCTTCAGTTTCAGTCTTCGACTTTTGCTGAAGGTTCTTTGATGTGAGTTTTGTCTTTTTGAAATATCGTTGTCGCTGATTGGATTTACATTACAAGTTCTTCAGCGATCACTGAACAGATTCAGTGATGATCGCTGGAACTGGAAATAGAAACATATATACTTCAAGTAAGATAAAAGAGATTATCATCAAATCAATGAGAGAGAGGATCAACAATAAATCTATAAATGAGGGCTATGAGGTATTACCATGGCGAATGAGAATTTAGTATTCTCAAATTGTGGTCAAATTTGGTTATCCCATATTGAAGAGAAGAATAAACATTAGAAATTATATTTGAATATATAAAAGGAGGGGGATGGCTTGAAAATCGATATCAATATAAATGTATAAAGGAATTCTACGAGACTTCAGTTATAGGGTTAGCCATATACTTCACATATTTCTGGCGATTCACATGGTATCATCAAATAATACAACTATTGGAAAGAGTTAGTTAGATATATGAAAGGAAGGTTAATGCCTTGAAGATTAAAAAAGTTGGTTGACTAAAATGCGACACTTGCCATCCAATTCTTGGATTAAATGGTAACTTTGAAGTTATATGGTAAAAATATTTTATTAAAAACTAACATTTCACTTTCAATTTGATTGAATGTATAATGTTCATTAGAATCGAATCAATACAATCATGAATATGAATATATATATATATATATATATATATATATACAATAAAAATCATTATGAAAGAAGTTTTGGCTAGAACCTATTGACATGACATAACCAAGAATTTAGAATTTTCTCAACTAATGATTATAGTTGAGCTTTTGTCCCACATTGATGATAAACTGAAATATCGAAAGAGATGATTGAGCATATAAAGGAGGAAAGATGTTTTGAAATATTGGAAGGATATTGGTAAATGTAAAATGTGAATTTAGTATTCACAAGTTTGTTGAGGTAGCATCATAATTTTTTTTATCTTATTTGACATTTGTTTTAATCATTGTGCAACGTGTACGCATACACACACATGCACACAAACACACACACACACACATATATATATATATACACCCCAATATATATATTAAAAGAAGAACTAAGAGGTATTGGGGTGATATCACGAGAATTGAGTATTAAGGTGTTGGTGAATTGTGGTTGAGTTTGAGATATCCCACATTGGTGAGAGATTGAAAGATTGGAATAAGAAGTTGTATAAGAAATGTGATAACTGGGTCCTAGTTATCACCCGAGGTAATTAATATGTGATTATTTGATAAATGATTATGTGATAGCATGATAAATTGTTATATTGATCATGCTAATATGTGAAACTACATGCATAATAAAGTACATGCATAGGTATATATGTATATGTCGATATATATATGTGTGTACAAGAGTTATGTATGTGCATGGTATGTGTGTGTGTGCATGCATGTAGGGAGGAAGAGAAAGGATATTGTAGCCGACTTCCTTGAAAAGGAAAGTATAAAAGGAGGGTTTAGCCTCCTGATGTGGCTAAAATCGTAAGTGTGCACACAGTGGGCACAAGGTCCCCAAAGTGGCGGTGCAAGTGCACGCTGACACTATGACCGCTTCAAGTAATAGAGTGGTAAAGTACCAAGATCATTTCCGCAGGGACTGGACTTACTAAGAATCAGATACTTTCATGAACTTCTTGAACATGCTTTGGGTTGAGAAAATATTTGAGTTTTGATTGTGCAAAGTGTTAAAATACGAAATAAACTTTTAATAGTAAAAGATGGGTATGGGTGTAAGCTTTACTTAAGAATATTGCAGGAACAATTTGGTCAAAAACTCAAGGGACTTCTATAAGAACTCCTATCTCTCGAAAGTGAATTCTTATATACTGTGCCCACAAAGTGCCCACAAAGCGTCCAGTTTTATCAATCTTAAAAACTTGCCGAATTATCTACTAGATAAAAAGATATCTGGTTCCACTAACCTGAAGATTTATACTCACAACGTATTGTAGTATAAACTCGACTAATATCTGAACATTAGCTAAAAACATGCAAAACCCGCATCTCTGCGTGATTATCAAAGACTCTCTCAAATCTTTGTGCATCATCTAAGCTGTATTTCAGACCCGCCCATCTCTGGATCAAAGATATAATATTAACACTTCAAAGTGATTGGCTTATCTGCGTTGAGCTTAAGTCCCGACTTAAATGACCAAGCTTAAGAATCAATAAAAAATGACAACACCCAAGTGTGCCTTTACATTCTTAAGCTTGACTCACACCCACACCCAAAGGGTGCTTAGCTCATAATAAAATTATAAAACATAAAGGAAATATAAGAAGAAAAATGCATAAGAAATACTTGAACTGAAATTTTATTTAAACTGTTGCCCACAGAGGGCATACAATACACAGTGGCGAGAATTAAAGACTAAGTACGAAAATAAAATTACAAGCAGAAATTAAACTTGCTCTACTGCTGTAGAGCTTGAGAGAATGCTCCAAGGTTGCTTAGCTAAATTGTTGATAGAGTGAATTGCTTCCAAATGAGAGAAAGTCTTCAATATATAGGAAAAAGTGAGCACCGGACAAACTCTTCGCCTAAAGGAAGAAAATCTTCATCGTCTAGAGGGTAAGGACCTCCCATCACCACATGTCTACTTTTTTTTTCTGGCCTTGTCACTTTTTCTTGAAAGGTTGCAAAAGGTAAAGTACCTAACCATTAAAATAATGAAATGGTAGAGAAGACTTTTTCATTAAAATAATGGTAGGAGTACTTTATTGTCTTTTTATAACTCAACCAGGCACATTCTTCCAAGTAATTCAATATTTTGATCTGAACTCAGAATTAGATCCCATTAATACTCAAGAGAGTCCATATTGTTCAAATCCAACTTGATGAAAATACGCCATAGTATGAATGCGAGCAGAAAGTGGGTAGTTTACCAACAGCAATGGGTTTTTTAGAAAATAATTTAATTCTTGACCTTTCATCACCTCTTAACATATTTTGGACCAAAAATACATGATAAGAGCAAAACTGGGTACCGAATACACAATAAAATAGGGGTATTGAACAACAAATAACTCTCACATATTGAGAGCTATCACACCCCCAAACTTGAAGTATTACTTGTCCTCAAGTAAAAGAAAATAAAGAGAAAGGAACCTAAAGAAAGGAAAAAGAACGAAACATACAGAAGGTGTTGGAAATTTGTCTAGTAAAGAAGATGTACAACTTTCTTGCTTGATCTTCGTAGTGTTGCTGTTAATCAGCAGGGCTTTAGGGTTAGTGTTTTTGGCAATAACAGCGTGTATCCCTCCCCCAAACTTATCTTATACTACAAAAGGGTTTGAAAGATAATTTCTCATCGATTCTCTTTTGAGTACTTGGAAAAAGTTCGTGACCCATTTCTTGGCATAAACTTGCCTTTTTGGATAACCGGGCTTTTTATTTTCGTCTTCCAATTTTTCGAAGACCAATTCTTCTATTTTTTTTTTTTTGTTTTCTTTTCTCTATTTTTTTTTCATATCTCCCAATTTTTCGAAGGTATATATTTTTTTGAACACATCCCCCCAAACTTAATATTGACAATGTCCCCATTGTTGCCAAAGGGACCAAAACGGTACGGGTTGGACGCAAGGGGAAAAGTGTTTGGGCTTAAAATAGAAGGAGGGTCTACATCCTTTTAACTTTAACACTACCAAAAATCATCCAAGGATGTTGTACCTGAAATGAACAATGGAACTAGACAAAACAAAATGAAATCCAACACCCATGTCATAAATATTCACACAAAAGAAATGACGTTCCGTAAATCATACACAAAAGATGGAATAAAAGTGTATCTGTACCCCAAAAGATATACCAAAAATAATGTTTTTAAGAGGCAGTGATGAAAAGTCGAGAATTAAACCATTTCCATCAAAACTGCTTATTGTAGGCAAGCAGGGACTGCATCTGCTTCCTTCGAGCTTTGGACAACGGGAGCATCAACGGGAACAACAACAGCAGGTATGATCGCAGTTGTGGCATTGACAGTAGCAGCAACAGGAACACGAGGAGCAGGAGCAAAAGGTGCAGCAACAATAGAAGTAATCGGCATGGGAGTCTGCAAGGGCAGGAAACACCGAACCTGGGGAGGGCATAGACCACTTGGGAACCTTGGAAGTTGGGCTGTCAAGAGGGAATCTTGACGCCCGTAAAGCTGTCGTTCCACCCGGTTCCAATCTCGGGTATACGCCCAAAAGCTAGCATTCTTCTTTTCTAGGTCCGAGATGCAGTCCTCTATGCTCCCCACCTTCTTCAATATCGCCTCCAACTTTTAATTCGTTTCTTCCCATTGGAGTGCCAAGACCAAAAGCCAAGTGGCCGACCCATACCCCGAGCCTAATGGATTGCTTGGAGGTGGCTTGGATGGGCTGGCCTCATCATTGACAAACCCTGGGATCTCCGTAGATGGCTTGGTCATGGGGACAACAGGTGGCTCGGTAACATGTGCGGCGGGTGGCTCGGTAGTTGCAACAGTCGGTGGTTCAGAAACAGCGACATCCTGTGGCTCGGGAACATCGACCGGTGGTGCATTTGGTTGAACAGTTGGTGGCGCCACGGGTTCTTCTGCAACTCTCTCGACCGGTACAGAATTCTGCAAATTTAAAAAGGGCCGAGAGGCTCTTTGCCAATGATCGACCGTATTTTGTCCCAAAAAGGGAGAGCCGACAACTATTGTATCCTCATCATTGGTAGGGACCCTAGCCTTGGCCATAAGCTTTGTGATAAGGGCCGGAAAGACTAGGCGTGAAAGCGTCCTCTGAGAGGCGGCCAAAATGGATGTATGAATAATCGGCCCGAGGTCGATTGGCAACTCTCTCAAGATGCAATAAAGGAGGACGCATCGGTCCCTTGAGAGTGTACTATCATGAACAGTGGGGAATAAGTTGTGTCGCAAAAACTGAAACCAAAGTCCCGCCTCCTTGTTGAGATGACCGGCCAAAATAATTCAGCGCCGGTTGTCCCTCGACCATCCATGATCGGGGAGCTTAAAGAGGGATGCAATATGTTAAACCCCATAACTCATTATGTAAAAAGTAATGGAAAACAATAAGTGATGAAGAAACAGAAGATCGATGAAGACATCAAGGCAGAAACGGCTAAGTCTGGAGTACAACCAGAGGACCGATGGACGACCTAGGATGCGATAGAAAGAGCATCCTCATCGATCCTCTGGTCATCAATACTTAGAGAATTCTCCAGCAAATCATCCAGGAGCATGCGATGAAGATTTAAAGATAAGGATGATTTATCACATTATGAATGACAGCTGGAGATGACATGTCGATAGCTAGAATTCAAGTTTATCTCTAATATTTAAGCTTATCAATAGAGTAGATAAATGTTATCTGTTAATAGGAAGATTAGCTAAAAAGTCTCATTAGATAATTATCTTCTTATTAGCTGATTAGTATAAATAGGAGATTAGGCCTATTGTAAAGAGTGGCTTGTTAGACTTTTAAGCTTTTACGTTTTCTTATATACAAAGTGAAATCTTTGACGCTCAAGATTGTTCTTAGATGTTCATAATTTCTTCTTGAGTGTTCTTCATTTTGTTCATTAAATCACTATAATTTGGTTATTATTAACTAGATTATTAGTGTTATTGAGAGATCAGGGATCAACAATTGGTATCAGAGCGGATTGATTGATTTTCCAATCAAGACGATCAAACAAAAATCTCTCAATTTTTGATCTTCTCCCTCGTCAATACACAAATCCTTCTCTTCAAAATTCTCAATGGCCAACTGGAACTCTGCTTATAGCGCTGGCTCCCTCACCAAGCCTCCAACTCTTCAACGAGAAGAATATCCACAATGGAAGATCAGAATGGTGAATTTATTGGAAGGAATGGACAAGAACCTCCTTCGATCTGTAATGGAGGGTCCTTACATCCCACAAACTCTTGTCCCAAGAGTTCCAGGAACAAACACCATGGCTGAAATTCCTGCCTAATATATGTGCAAGGATGAAAAAAATTGGGATGAAGACGACATGGAAAGAGTAGAAACAGACAAGAAGGCCAAACGATTGATTATCATGGCCATACCCAATGAAATCTTCCRATCCCTCGAYGCATGTTCCACAGCCAAGGAACTATGGGATGAACTGGCAAGCCAACTGGAAGGAGGAGCAAAAACGAGAAAAAATCGTAGAGCACAATGTCTCAACGAATATACTAATTTCAAGGTCCTTCCTGATGAACCAATACAGAAGACATATGATCGTTTTAACACATTGATCAATCAATGTCGTCGAAACGAYATCTCCAGAACTAAGGAAGAAAACAACGTTTTATTCCTAAAAAGTCTGGGCGATGAATGGACTCAGCTATCTATCTCCCTTCAAGCAAACCAGGACCTAGACAGCTGGTCACTTCATGATCTGTATGGAACGCTTGCAACACAAGAGAATGACATAATGAAAAAGAAAGTTTCCATTGGTGGACCTCTTGCCCTTGCTGCCGATGAAAAGGAAAAATCAAGGACTTCTACCAAAGAATATAAAAAGAAAGGCAAGAAAGCATTGGTAGTAGAATCAGAATCTGATTCAGAAGAAACTTCTGACTCTGATGATGAAATTAAAGCTTTTGCCAAATCTTTGGCCTTGCTCACAAAGCAGTTCCAGAGAAAGTTCATCATGAAACTCTATGAACGAAAAGAGTTCAAAAGGGAAAGGTACCAGTCATCGTATGAAAGGAAGTCATCCAAATTTCATCAGAGGGAAGATAGAAGAGATGGGAGAGAAGAAAGAGAAGAAAGAAGAGAAGATAAAAGAGACGAGAGGAAAGAAGACAAGGATGGAAGGAAGAATGACCTTCGATGCTTCAGATGTGGAAAGCTCGGTCATTTCTCCAAAGAATGCCGAGGATGATTGGTAAAGGATGCTGATTATTACAAGAACAAATACAAATACAATTCTAGAGAGCGAAGCCTGATGGCTGAAAAAGAAAATTAGGTGTCTGATTCTTCATCAGACGATGAAGACAAAGCACTCATATGTCTAATGGCCACGTCCAATGCAGAATCCGCCTACAACTCTGATGACCAGGTATGTGAGTCTACTTCCA